GTGTGTCCACACACCAAAAACCAAAAGTCCTTACTTAGAGGACACTGGGGGGGTTGGGGGGAGGAAGAAAGAGACACTTTGTCACCTTATCTAGCTAAATGTCTTTTCCCCTATATTCTCTGCTCATTTACCCAGATTCCCCTCATGCTATTTTCCACAATTAGAAAGAAAATAACATTAACTAGTCTCTATTCCCTTAAGAACATGCAGTGCTGATCAATTGGTGTGATGCTGATACGCAGAATTAGCCAGTGGTATGTCCTCTCCGGGGGCAAAAAATGATGAAATTGAGGCTGTCATACTTTGGGCCCACCAGCAGGAGGCAAGATTCCCTGGAAAAAGACACTAGTGCTAGGAAAAGTTGAAGGAAGCAGCAGAAAGGAAAGGACCAAATATGAGGTGGGTTGATTCCATGAAGGGATTTACAGCCTTGAGCTTAGAATAGCTGAGCAGAGCTGTTGAGGACAGGACATTTGAATGTCTCTCATTCATAGGGTCACTGTAAGTGACCTAATGGCAAAAAACAACATGTCATCAGCGTATCTGATAGGAAATGGCTTAACCTGGTGCTTGAAAATATAACAGTGTTGGGGCAGATGGGCCCCAAAGAGCATTCCACTGGAAAAAAAACAACAGTGGTGTCTCAAAAGTATTCACCTTCACCTGTTGATCTTCAGCTTGTTCTGCAGTTGACAGAGGTAGAAAGGTGCTGCTCAGACACTCAGCAACCAAAGTTTAAATAAGCTTCTGACACCCCACAAATCCTGCTGCTTCTGCTTAGGGGGTGAAACCTGCCGAGCTGGAATTTCCTGCATAAGGTCTGTCTTTTGCCACGTCAGCCTCTCTCCAAATGGAAAACCAAGCTGGGGATCTAAGGGCAGAGAAAAACAATTCAGAGGCATAGGAAATATGTTCAAGAAATAAAAGAAATACTAGACATGAGGTCAAGGCCTGGATTCCCATGAAGAAGTTACATTCATTACAAGACCAGTCCTGGAACACTGATGCCACCCTCCAGGCTGAACCCTTTCAGACAAAAACATCCTAGTGCTAGCAATAAAAAGGCATTGTGCAATGATTTTGATATAAAATAATAAAAAAGGAAGAAGTGGTGGGAAAAGACATGAAAGTAACACTTAGAAGATATTAGCTGAAATCATGTTGTTTAGTGTAGAGTAGGCCCATTGGAATTGATGACACAGAAAAGTTGGTTCACCGAATCCTCACTGATGCAATGGGCCTACCATACATAGAGCAACTCACTATGCTGAAGAGAAGGATTTCAGCCATTATCACTCAACTCTCTATGAATGAGGCAGAGTATAAAATAAAAGGCATATCCTCCTAATTGCAAATGTGTCAAGAAAATTTGGGGATAAATTATAGTTTTCTACTGTAGCTCTCAGAATTTCCCAACCTGAAGAGGCAGCAAATGAAAAAGGCAACCTCAGGACTGTGCCAAAGTTATGGGTCCCAAGTTTGGTGCTTAGATATTGATTGCTTAACAAGGAGAAGAAATGAAACATCTTTTCTATACCATTTTTGGATTTGTTTGTTTGTTGCAAAGGGCTGTATGGGCCAGGGGCAAAAACCTAGGTTTGCCTCCATTGATTCCTTGTTTTGTTTCTACATATCTAATGAAAAGAATATAAATTCCAATTTAATTCAATTTCTTCCTTTTCTCCAAAATACCTGTTGAAAGCTGCTTGCTAGAGTTAGAGACTTTTAGGACGTGGGAAAGGAACATAACTTGGGGGATTCATGATTGCCATGATTGCTTTAAAATGAATCTACCAGGCTTACTTTTATTTTTATTTTTTAGCAGATTAAGAATAGTTTAGGACTGGAGAACTGGCCAATTAATCTCTCTTTCCAACTCAGAGACGAGAATTTTCAGCTGCATCTCTGGATAATGTAATATAGCTGAGAGGGGCAAGCACAAAAGAAACTTGAAGTCTCATTATTTTTCTGTGACAGCACAGCCATGATTCCCCCCTTCTATCATATAGGAGCTTCTAGAAGGACATACTGTACTAAATAAGAACCGTTTTTTATTTATGGTATTTTAGCTGTAAATAATGGCCATATCCTATAGCCGTTTTGCAACATGTATATGCAGGCCCACTGCTTGTTTGCTTGCTTAGATTTTGTTTGATTGATTTTTGTTACACTAGTAATCACTTGCTCTTGTTTTAGGAAGTTTATTACATTTACTGCAGTGTTCTTCATAAAATCTTGCATTTTTGTGCTTTGTTTTTGCAAACACAAACATGTCCTTGTTGTAAGTCAGATTGCAATTCTGAAGCATGGGTGAATTTTAATTTATGAAATCTGGACACCTTTCTGTTGTATTTCATGTTGCTTTTCTCAACTTCACAGTATCACATTCGTAAAGACTTTAAAATAAAAAGGAGAAAAACGCTTATACATTTACTCTCCAGAACTTCATATCTATCCTCCAGAGGGGAAAAGGACTGAATGTTCAACAATTTTTCAGAGATCTAATGCTGTAACAGGGACATAATTTAGTTTTTAGAAGTTGTCTTTTCTCCAGTTTTCTTAGCACCAAGGAATCCCATACATCTATTTTTGTAATTCAAATGTATGTAGTAACATTAATTTTGACTTTGTCTCTCACGTCTATTACTGCTTCGTGCTGCTAGCAAATGTGTTACATTGCAATCCTATGCAGGTTTGTCTGGGAGTAAGTCCTACTGAATTAAATGGGAGTCATAGATATTGGAGACATTATATAGACATTATAAGATTGTACTGCAAGTCTTACTTAGAGCAAAGTCACTGCAATCAAGGGACTTAAGTGAGTCTTCCTGGCTATTGTGTATTTATTTTTTCAAGGCAAAAAGTCTTCACCTAATGACTGACCATATAGCTAAACTAGACTAGCAATTAAGATTAGATCCTACCCATAGCCTCTATTTCTTATAAGTTTAAATAAAATGTTCAGTTCATGTTCTTTAATTCTAAATATCTCAAGACTTTCAGTTTAAGATCAAAAGAGCAAATAGCAATATTCATAAATACCACAACACTAGCATGTCCCCCCATCTGTTACCATATCTTCCATTTTTAGAATTGCATCTTAAGATATTTGTAGACTTATATTTGAATCGCCTTGACTCTTGATCTATTTGATTTTATTACCAAGGGGAGAAAGAGTACATAAGAAGGTTTGCAATACAAGCGTACTTTTTTGCCCACAAAGTCCTCCTGCATTCGATGTCTCCCACAGCTAGAAAAGGTGTTTAGAATCGCAGCCAAACCTTGCAGCTGTAGGCAGACTTTTACCTGAAAGGTCTTTTGAAATCTACAGTATCAGTCTTTTCTTTCTCTTATCTTCCCCTAGCTCTTTAGTCTAACTACAGGGGTGAAGAGAAGAGAAGTGACAAGAGTAAGGTGTCATATGCTTTTTGTTGTTTAGCTTCACCACTGGGCAGACAAGAAATAGAAACGTGTGGAATCCTTATACATATCGATAAGACACCCATCCTTTTTCATCTTGGTAAACCTGCTTCTAAATTCATGTTGGTTTTTTTTTAGCAACTTACTACCTGCTCATTGTTTCCTGTTCTAGCTGTTTCAGGGAAGAGAAGTGTTTTAATAAGCAATTTACATTTGTGCAAATTAATACACAGCTCAGGTAGCACTGAAGATAAATTGCTTGTGGGGCATTGATACAACAATTTCTGTTGAACTTTTTGTTCACGAAAGAGGACTAGAAACTTTGTTCTTAATGGAACTGGACGTGTATTTACCCAATCCAGTTCATAACAAAGCTGCAGATATGAGATAAGGAAAGGGTTTTAAAGCATAGTCCATAGCCAGAAGGGGGGATGTTTAACATGCTTCCACACTGTTCCTGTTGTTCTTAATGGAACTGGACATGTATTTATCCAATCCAGTTCATAACAAAGCCGCAGATATGAAATAATGAAAGGGTTTATTTATTTATTTATTTGATTTTTACCCCACCCCTCTAGACCATGTCTACTCGGGGCGGCTAAAGCATAGTCCATAGCCAGAAGGGAGGATGTTTAACATGCTTCCACACTGTTCCTATTCCTCTGAAATTGCTTCTCAACCATTTTTCCCCTACTGGTGAGGATTCTTTCTGATCTCAGAATTCAACCAGGAGAATAATAGCAGGGGATTGTAGTGGTGGAGGTGCATGAGCAATTATAGCAGCTTTAATCAACCCTTCCATGTGCCCATGTTTAACTTTATAAAATATCTTCCTCATCATGACTTGGAAATAATTCATTCAAAATTAGTTTGTTGCCCCTAACGGGTTAAGTTTTTCAACAGCCAATTAAAAAGTTATGATTAAACGTTGAATAATACATTGTTATTTTAGTAAACATTTTTGATTGCTTTAATTTCTTCCCAGACATTTTCATACACGCTAATGATTATTAACAATGGAAGAGTTTAAAGAGTTAATGAGGATGATCTTTATTCGGTTTTTCATAGCATTTTAATGTACACAGTGACTGATTTTATTGCTTTGGGTCAGCACAATGTCGCTCACAATGTTTGTGAGTTCTGCGTTTTGCTCCCTGAACAGCTGGTGCTGACCCAGTTCTACCACAATCTAGGAAATCTAAGCTTCTGTTCAAATTTGGGTCAGCACAATGTCGCTCACAATGTTTGTGAGTTCTGCGTTTTGCTCCCTGAACAGCTGGTGCTGACCCAGTTCTACCACAATCTAGGAAATCTAAGCTTCTGTTCAAATGGCAAAAAGACTTCAATGATTCTAAGTAAGCTATGATAGTCTAAGTCATCTGCTGGGTCAGCACAATGTCGCTAGCCCTGTTTGTGACCCAGTTCTACCACATCTAGGAAATCTAAGCTTCTGTTCAAATGGCAAAAAGACTTCAATGATTCTAAGTAAGCCATGATAGTCTAAGTCATCTGAGCTTTCCATGACCAGGGCAGACATCTTGGCGTTCTTCACACGTCCCACATTCCTTACCTCTCTCTGCTCACACAACGTCTGCGCCTTCTCTCTGCAGCCTGCCTCTGCTTTGGAGACGCTGCAGGGACGGCCGTGAGGTTCCCCTCTGGCGAGCATGCAGGTATTCACGGTAGTTGCGTGTCAACAAAGTGTACAAGAATGGGTTGATGCAGCTGTTGCCGTAAGTCAAGCAGGTCACCAAATGGTTGATGGAGATCTCCGTGTGGACGGGCAAGTGAGCTGCTGACGGGCAGTACAAAGGAAGGAGCTGCCAGACCCAGAAGGGTAAATAACAAGCCCAGAAGGCCAGAACGATGACAAGGATAAGAAGGAAAACACGGTTCTTGGGAGAACGACCCAAGCCACCACGGGTCTGTGAGAGCCAGTAAGTCCTTGCCAGGCGCCAGTAGAGGGACACAATGACGATGCCCGGGGCCACGATGCTGGTGGTGAACAGGATCGTCAAATACAGCCTGTACTGCTCCTCACTCCAGGTGGGGGAGCAGAGGCGCCGGACGACCGCTTCCTCTCCCACCGCACGCTCCTCCTGATGGATCATCACCATCATGGGGAGGGCCAGAGCAAAGGACAGGAGCCATATGGCGATCGCCAGCAGTCGGCGGCCTCTCCGGGCCCGGCTTGCAGCCTGGAAGGGGTGCACCACGGCCGTGTAGCGTTCACAGCTCATGAGGGTAAGCAGGAAGATGCTGGCGTGCATGGTGAGGAGGTCCAGGCTGAGGAGAATCCGGCAGCCCACTTCGCCAAAAGGCCAATCCTTCACTAGCCCATTGTGGACGATGAAGGGGGCTGTCAACAAGTACAGCAGGTCTGCCAGGGCCAGGTTGACCAGGTGGACGCGCAGCGAGGAGGCCGCAGGGGAGACCCGCACGATGGCTAGAGCATAAAGATTTCCAGCCACTCCTGTGGCACACATGAGGCTCAGCACAGCTCCCAGGGCTGCGGCTGATTCACCGCCCTCCGACGAAGACCTGTTGCTCAACGATACCCACTGGGAAATGTTGGTCAGTAATGGCTCCATGATGGGAAGGCCCTCCAGGAGAAAGCCTCTGTGTTCCTTTTACTCCTCAAGAGACAAACAAGGTAAGGAACTGTGCAATTTTAGAACAGTTCCTAAAGTATACACTATTTTAGCAAGATATCTGTCTATCTAACTAGCCATCCATCCACTCTCTTTCTCCTTGAGCTTACAGCTGTTTCTCAGCTAACATCATGCCCTGTGCATTTGAAGAAGTGGGTTGTAGCTGATGATTGGTGATACCAAATAAAATCTTTTCCTTACGTTGCCACAAGAGTCTTGGCTATCTGTCTACTGTCTCTCTACGCTACCTGCTTATTTGTCTACTATGCTGTCTTTTTATTTTATCTGTTTTCATTTGCTCAGCCCCAGTCCTCTAATTACTTCCCCTCCTCCACTTCAGTACTAAAAAACAAACAAACAAACTGAAGTTGCAAAGGATATTCTCGGGGGGGTCCCGTATGCACCCCCTGGTCTTGTAACTGGTGCACATGGTTAGGGATTCAGACATGAAGGCCTGTTCTGTTCAGTTTCTTCCTTCGCTTGATGTCTTCAAAAAAAGCCTATGCTGATGCGAGGTCTCCAGTGCGTGCGTGCGTGTGTGTGTGCACACCGAATATCTGCATGTGTCTGTCTGGTCTGCAGATTCTCGTCTCTCGCATTCCTTGCACCCTGCTAGTGTCGGTATGTCGGGGTTGAACTGTGTCCTGCCCCCCCCCCTTGTAGAGCACCGTCCTCTCAGCTCCTGTCTGTATTGAAGGAACCTGTTTATCTCATCCTTGGGGTGGGATTCTGACAACGTGTCAGCTACACAGGGGCGATTGGGCGGGTGACGGGACAGTTTTCGGGGGTCCGATTGGTCCGGAGATAGGACTGGACAGAATTACCACCCCTGTTTCTTCCCTCCCATCCCCACCCCATGTGGACAAGACACTCAAAATCCAACTCCCTGCTGGCATAACCATGCAGCTTTCCATGGAATCATGCCAACCCGGACGGGGAAAAAAAATAACCAAGAGACATGAAGACAGAAAGGGACTGTATGGATCAATGGACAGAAGAAACTCATAAATGCAAAGAGAGAAAGACATAAGATGAAAAAAGACTATAGGAAAGAAGAAGCACTCTCTCCTTTTTGCATCAGGCAATGGGACAGAAGAGCAGGCAGTTCTTTTGTGGTTTTACAACAAGATTCTTCGCGGCTGCCTCTTATTAATACAGAAATAACGTAAATATTCTAGCCTTTATTCTTAGTTGGGATTTGTCTATCTTTTTAAAGGAGTAAAATGCTAAGAATTCGGGTAGATCCTACTATGTCTAGAGAGGCCAAGGGTTCAGCCTTGGGTTATGTAAATTAATAAGAAGGGTGAGAGTGCCTCTGAGCTCTTGATGAGTGTAGTTTCCATACCATTGCAGGTGACTTTTGGGCAACAAGCAATGTAACTAGGAGCTACAAAAGTACTGTACTTTTGAGGTGTAATGAGTAAAACGTAAGTTATCTCCATATAAACAGCAATACCAAGTGACTTTGAAATGTTACTTTTAAACTGCATCTTAAAGCATGTTAGAAGTATTATGACAAAAATTCTGCAGGCATTATGCCATTTAAAAAAAAACCAGACCTAAGATGCAAGTTAGTCTTTGCATTTTTATAAATATCTGCAAAAGATTTCTTGTTGAATTTATGTGCTGTCAAGTTGCTTCAAACTCGCGGCCACCTGATGAAGTAATCACCTCCAAAAGGATCAATCATTAACAGTCTTCCATGGGTCTTGCAAACTAAAGGCCATGACTTCCTTTACCGTGTTGATCCATCTCAAGTTGGATCTTCTACAGCACGGGTGGGCAATTAATTTCTATAGGGGGCCACGTGAAAAATCTGAATTGTGTTCGGAGCCCGAACCAACTTTACTTAAAAATAAAATGAAACAGTGATGTTATGATTGTTATTTGTTAATCTCCACAAATACTAAAGAGGTTTTTTGTGGTATGTTAAAGATAAGCAACTGATCAACTTTAGACAAAAAGCTATAAATGGTTTTGATGTTCCAAACTGTCCGCGGGCCAGACAGGAGCAGCTCACGGGCCGTATGTGGCCCTCGGGCCACACTTTGCCCAGTCTGTTCTACAGCTTTCCACCTTCTTTCCATCTTTCCTAGCATTACTGCCTTTTCCGGTGAGTCTTGTCTTTTCCTGATATATTCAAAGTACATAGGCTTAACTTAGCCATATTTGCTTGCTTGGAGACAATAACAAAGGCAACCTAGCTGCTGCTGTTCTACAGCTTTCCACCTTTCCTAGCATTACTGTCTTTTCCGGTGAGTCTTGTCTTTTCATGATATATTCAAAGTACATAGGCTTAACTTAGCCATATTTGCTTGCTTGGAGACAATAACAAAGGCAACCTAGCTGCTGAGAAGTAAAGACTAACATAAGGAGTTCCTTTCAAGATGTAATGCTCCAGACACTGCAGCATTTTGCAGGTGAGTCTTGTCTTTTCATGATATATTCAAAGTACATAGGCTTAACTTAGCCATATTTGCTTGCTTGGAGACAATAACAAAGGCAACCTAGCTGCTGAGAAGACTAACACAAGGAATTCCTTTCAAGACGTAATGCTCCAGACACTGCAGCATTTTGCATTAGCACATTACTGTCCTACTGCAAGAATCAACTCTTTGAACGTGCATTATCAGTGTTAATAATGCACTTTTCAGCATCTGTATCCCATTTTAATTCTTCCTACAAATCCTTACCCCCATATGGTCTAAATATTATAACTACATATCTAAAGAAGTGGACTATGATCCTTGTACTGAAATAAATATCCTAATATTAAGGAGTCAATGACACTTTTTGCTTTGCTTTTTAAATACACTTTTTAAAGTTCTAAGCTCTGCTGAATGTTTAAATAATCCTGTAAAGAATTAAGTTGCACAATTTGTTATTAATTATTTGGAGCTCTCTTGGTAGTGCACACTGAGATAAATTCATAAACTATGAATTCAATAAAATATTTGTTAAAAGTAAAAAAAAAAACAGCATCAATCCAGCAGCAGAAGACAACAGCCATGCAAGGACCTAAAAAAGGCAAACAGAACTGAGAGGTTTGAAGCCCTTGAGGGATAAATTTAAGCTCAAAATACATAGTGGGATGAGGTGTCAGGCAAGTGCAGCCATTGAAAACCATAAAAAATATAGCAAGTAAGTAATCTAATGATTCAGTTTTGTGATATTACAAACCCAATAGCTTTGGTTACATCTGTATGTTCTGTGATTTTATCTTAGCAGTCAGTGGATTATTTACTTATAAAGTAAAACGCATTTACATTTATATACCCTTTTCTTCTAGTGCTTTCAGTTGGGTACATACATAGTTATCCTCTCTCCCACTTCACAACAACCCTACAAGGTAGATCAGACCAAGATAGTGTCAGACCTCAGTGAATTTCAAGACTTAGTGGGGATTAGAACGCAGATCTCTCAAGTCCCAGTCCTTTTAACTACGTTGCCGTGCTGGCACGTACTGCCCCAAGTGTATAAAAGTTGGAGTCTGTCATGAAAGCCACTAGCACTCTGGTTCTAGAGAGATTTCAGGTAGACTTTTCAATGCCTAGGACCAATATCCAAGCCAGTGTAAGAGACTATATGCAAGTATTCAGTTTATGGGTGTTGGGCGAGGAAAGAGGCTGGTCTCTCCCAGACCTTGTGCTCTGACTAAATTTTAAAGAAACACCTGTTGAGATGAGAATAAAGACAACGGCACAACTCAGAGAAAAGCCCTTATGCTCTTGCACTCAAGCATATGTTCACATGTTCTCCCCCCTTTTGACACATCCAGAATAGTGTACCATGTGATCTTTAAACCAGGAGTTGCCATGATGTCATGTTCTAGTAAAGTCTTTAGAAATTCATTGACTAGATCAGCCATTCTCAGCTTTATTTTAGTTACGCCCTTTACAAGCTCTGCTCAGGTTCCAGAAGCCCCTGTGTGCTAAGGAGGATACAACACGAACAGATGAATCTGTGCCCCCCCTTCAGGTGTGCCATATAGCCCCTGTTGAGAATGGCTGGACTGGATGTCATCAGCAAAAAATGCACACGTCTCCTGCCTGTCAGTGTGATGTACATGCGTGAAACGCTTGTGTACCCTGGGTGGGTTCATATTCCATCTTAGATTAAATTTCCTTCTGAATCGTCCTTGTACATCATTCCACTGTGTGCCTGTTGATGCACACTTGGAGTACAGTTAGTGGGAACGCAGGAAGTAGCTTTACACTGAGTCACGCCAATGCATCATCTATCCAGCTAGTTGACTCTGACTGGAATCAGGTTTCCCAGATTTCAGCTATGATATTCCCCTATCCTTTACAAACCCTGCTTCGCTCCTGAAATCAGACAACATCAGGGCATTGAAGGTGGTAAGGTGGTTTGTGTGCCCATGTGTCCGTGGGGAAGAGAGAAAGACTCAACTGTTTAAAATTCAGTGTTATTTTATCCAGTTTGTATAGTTCTCTATGGCACATACAAATCAGCTTTCTTGGCCACATTGTCTACTTTAAACTCCACTCATTTGGTAGTGTGGCCCTCAGGCTGCTGGCAAATCTGAAAAGTCATATTCAGCCTCACTGAGAGTGTAACTCCAATCTTGAATAAACTTAGCACTGGTTTAGGTTTTTAGAAATCAATGTCACATGGTTTTTGTATTGGTGTTTGTGTCCACTCTGGGAGGCAGTGGAAGACAGGAGGGCTTGGCGTGCTTTGGTCCATGGGGTCACAAAGAGTTGGACATGATTTAACAACGAAACAACAACAAAAGTGTGTCCACGGGGATCAACTTCTAGTCTGATGGTAAGCTATGTGGTACGCTGGTACTTCGGTGTCCCTCCAAGTCCCTCCTTTCCCAGTGTTTGCTCTATACTGAGAATTTGACCCCATTCTTGACTCAGAACATGCCTTCCTTGAAGTAGTTAACAGCAGATCGAGCAGCTTTTATTCTGCAA